ACACCACCGTTGAATCCAGGTGGATTATCAAAACTTTGCGCTGAGCTTGTTTGCAATCAATTTCTGGCATGTGTGTCGATTCAAATTGGGTTGGTAAAGTATATACGCCATACAGATATGACTATGGAAGCAGCAATCGGGCGGTTTACTGCATGGGTTCAAGGCTATCTTGCATCTGAATCATCTACTCCATTACCAATATCGACGTCAGCTACTCAAATTGCCTCTGCTCGATTGTTTTGGAACAAGGGAAATACAGCACCAAAAACTGCAGGTGATGTTTACGAGTCCATGCTAGGTGCTGTATTTGTAGATTCTCAATTTGATATACACTGCGTGCAAAGCATGTTTGACATCACAGTGATCTCACCTTGGTGGTGGCGATTCACATCGCTGTTTGGTGGAGAATCAATGATATACGAAAACCCAGTTGCTGAATTGCGAACCTTGTCCTATTCATTGTTTAAATGTGTCAAGATAGATTACACGTATGTTTTTTGTCGGGTAAATTTGACAACTACAAATCTATTGTCTGCATTTCTGTTGAATACAATTGCCAAAAAGTACTGAAATCCAACTATTTTTAAAAACAAAACATTCAGATATGAATATGGTCTACATGGAGGTACTACCGCCACTATCACGTATCACAACATGGTATTGGCTCAATGTCTCGGCACTGGGCAACGCGATGCCAAAAAAGCAGCGGCATGTACAGCCGTCAAGTATGTCAATATGCATAAAGACGAGCTAAAAGACTTGTGCGATTGTGCACATCAGCAAAAACAGGAGTCCACAGAGACAAAAGTATATGCAGCCGATAGCATCATTTGTTTTGATTCAGACAAGGACAAGTCGACACGGTCTAATAAGGAATCGGCTCGGCCTTCTATCGAGTATGCAACAACTACTGATCAACAAGATCCGGCAAGTGATTGGGGTGAGTCTGTTGATCAAGCAACACATGCACCACTTGAATCTATTGCAATTTCACCCGATACTTTGTAA